AAAATGCCCAAATAATTTGCCTAGCGGCTAATCGGGCGCCAGGCGCCCCGCGGCGCGTGTTTGTTCGCGGAATTTGAGCCGATTTTGGGGGGCCCTGGGGCGCGTTGCCTGAGGGCAAATTCCCATTCCCATTTGCCGCCCGGAAAACAACATTTGGATTCCCAGCTTCATCTTCTTTCTATTAACTTAGAATCCATTTAAATTCCCATTTCCTATTAAATTCTCTATATTTTTACAAAATTCTAAATTCTATTAAATTTCTATATTCTCTACTAAATCTCCTGGCTTCACTGGTCCTTTAAAACCCCCCCTAAAAATGCTCGACGCGAAGAACCGAAAATTGCGCAATATGCTGCAGGGGGGCGCTGGCCGTGTCGGTGCGCCTTTTTGCGCCCGGGCCGGCGTCGCAAAAAATGGCCATGCAGGAGGTACTGTAGAAAAAGAGGCAATTGTTTCGTAAGAAATTTTAGTCATAATCCGAGGGCCCAAAATCATGACAGAAAAATACCGACAGGCCCAAATCCCGTTACCCAAAATACTGGCATTTAAAATGCCGACAATTAAATTCCGACAGCCAAAATGCCGACAGCAAAATTCCGACAGCAAGATACCGACAGCTGAAAAAATCCCGACAAATTATCGACGCCAATTTGAAGCCATTCGCTTCCTTTTGAGACTTGTCGGGATTTTGGCTGTCGGAATTTGCGCTGTCAGGATTTTGGCTAGGTAGCACAAAATCTAGGTATTCAGGTTTACTAACCGGTTCGGTTTAACTAGCCGGTTTACTTTTACTATTTTGAATTAAAAAATTACATTAAAAAAACTATGAAATTAGAAATTTTGTTCGGAAATCGAAATATTCCTTTTTGTTCTAAAAAAGATAAGGTTTTTACATTAACGAAAAGATAAGTTTTTTATTAGAAAAATTGATATTAAGAAGAAATTGGTTTTCCCTCCCCCCGATAACACGCAAGAACCTGTAAAAACTAGTAAAAATACGTTACCTCGGTATATAAATTAAAACCTTAAATAAAAAGCCTTAATGTTTAGCATGCCAAAAAAAGTGCGGACCATTAAAACCGAGTTTTTGCGTTCTGACCAGGACAGCCTTTAAAACACATATTTTATGGAAAAGCATCGAACCCCTAGGGTATATTTCCAAGTAATTATTAATTAATTCAATCTATTTTTTCAGTCCTCCGTGCCATCTCCATCTCGAGCACCAGCTCCTCCTCCTCCCCCGCCAGCAGCCCCGGCTTCAGCGCCTCCTCCAGCCCCTCCACCACCTGCCGCCCCGGCGCTACCCCCTGTTGGAGTTGGTGAGTGTTTTAAAGGGAACGTCACAGCAAGAACATGAGCGGAATTGGGGCAGGCTAGCAGAGAAGATTGGAACAGCAGTTGTTGAAGACCAATTAAAATTGGAAAGTCAGCTTCGTAGCTTAAATTGGTGAAACAAAAATTTAACATTTTTCTCTTCTGCTTTTTCCAGCATATTCACAAAATAAATTGGAGCCTAGTAAACTAAATGTTAGGTATATTTAAGAGATAGGCACTCTCTAAAAAGTCACCATGAAGAAATAAAGCTAGACAAAACTGACTGATTGGCCATTTTTGCGACTCCATAGATGTACTGAAACATCAAATCATCATCATTTTGAAAGCGCTTAACTGGCCACGAATTTTTGAATATAAAAACCAATTCTTATTTAAGAGACAATCAAATTACATAAAGAAGTATTTCTTACCGAACTGATGACAAAATAAATTTGATTGTTTTAGGAGCTCCTCCACCCCCGCCACCTCCTCCTCCACCGCCGCCACCCGGCGGCCCCGGCGGGCTGACGATGGCTGATCAAATTAAAGGTACAAAAATTGAGCTGCAGCTAATTGAGCTTCAAAGAAAAAAATGTGTTTTACGAAAATTATGAGGCCAAGAAGGATTTTGAAAATTTATTGATGTTTCGGTGGTGACAAAGCAATAATGTCTATAGGGGAATGACACCACGACAATATTTGAAAATGCCGGAAAATCGAAAAATCAAATTTTTTTAGTTAAAGGGATGCCCAATCTTTTCGGGGCTCAAAAAGCAAAAACCATGCCGCGGGTGGGGGTCGAACCCGGGGCCCCCGGTTTGTAGGCCTGGATGCTATCCATTAGGCCATAGTGGCAAGCCATTGCGTGGGATGGGGACGCCACAAGAGGGAAAGGTGTCCGAATTCTGTGCGGCAATGGCGCCCCATTGCCGCACAAAATTCGCGCGTCATTTGTACTGCCCGGAATCCATAACTATATATTTGCCTCCGAAACCTTGGGTATCCCTTTAAGATTTGATTTGATATGATGCTTTCATTTAATACTTGATTGAGTTATTATTATTTTAAGGCTTAATTTAATTCTCGTTTTGATGATAATCGGTTTAAAGAAAACAAATTTATAACTTTCTAGCAGCGCTTAGGCTTTGCTCGCTTCATAGATACTCTAAGTTTTAAAGATTTTTTATATAAATTTGTTTATATAAATTTGCTATTTCTATATACCTCTTAATCTTTTTTTAATTAAAATTTGTTTCACGATGGTGATCGGCCCGATGAGATAAAATGTCTTTATTGTGTAGCAAGAAGCAAGTAGGACCAATAATTTCTATGAACCATACTCATTTTTTAGTCGGAATCACGCTTCGTTAAACCCATATTTATTTCATTATATTGCATTATTTGATCCAAGGTTTAATTGATTACTAAATTTTCGTTGATAAATATAGAACAATAAAAAGAAAATTATAATTACTGACCTTTCAAAGATTTTCTGTGCTTATTTAGTTCGATAAGTTCTCTATGTCTATATGCCCCTAAATTTATTTTTTTTATTAAAAAATGTTTGACGCCGGCAAACAGTGAAAAGATATAAATGGCGTGTATTGCGTCCCAAGTAGTAAGCTCGACCAATAATTTTCGTGAAACATACTTCGTTCTTTTTCAGCCGGAATCACGCTTCGCAAAACTACCACCGCATCTGCAGCAGCCTCATCCTCAACCCCCGGAAAAGAAACGCGGAGTCAGAGTCTGGGCGAGGCCCTCGAAAAACCGGCACCACCTGCAGGTCAGCCAAATGTTTCAGCTAGTTGTGACTATTTTGGCATACCTTGAACCAGCATTAATGGTTCCTTTTCGTATTTCTAGCCCTTCTCAACCAAATTAAATAATGTTAAAAATGAATCTTTAAACAACTAAAATTAAGCCAATAATAGTAATGAATTAAATAAATCCCCCATTTTTTTCGGCTGCGACTAATCCGTAAACTTTTTTATTTCCAAAATTTTTAAATGTTTCAAATACAAGACGGGTTCGTAAAAAAACCGCGAAGTATTATTCCATCCCGGCGTTTGTTCGTTTCTAAAATGTCTGAACTAAAATTATCTAAAGTGTTTTTCAAATATAATTTTAATTCAATCTTTTTTTCAATTTAAATTTTCAGGCGCGGTCGGCGGAGGGAACAACTTGATGAGCGAGCTGATGCAGACGATCAACCGGAAAAGAATGCGCAGGCCCAGCGAGATTCGCAGGACAACAAGAGCAATATATCGAATGGTAGGAATTTGCATATTTTAAAGAGAGCGAAACTGAAGACGATGAGTAACTTACTAGCTATGCGATAAAAATCCAGCCTAGTCAATTCGTTGAAACTTGATTTTTCTCAGAATTTCTCTCTGTGTATATGGACACATATCTCTCTTGCTCTCTCTTGCTCTCTCTCTCTCTCTCTCTCTCTCTCTCTCTCTCTCTCTCTCTCTCTCTCTCTCGCTCACTCTCGTACACGCAAAAAATAGAACAAAATTAGTTTAAAAGAACCAGAAAAGCGGCCTGAAAATCAATGTTTGAAAAAAATTGTTAAGCCGGAAAATTTTTCTCGAGTATAATATTGCCTTTAAATAATCGTGTTACTATTTTTCTTTGATTATTATAAGTATTGTTGCTAAATTAATTTAGAACCAGGGTTGAAAAACCGCTTCGCGGCTTTTCAACCCTGGCCCCGTCTAGCGCACACATATTTCTTCCCGAACCTTGATTGCAAAAAAATGAAAAGGACCCCTCTACCCCCTTATATAAGCTTTCCCCACTTCCGGTGCATGCAGATTGGCTCCTAACAAAGAGATTTTCCGATATCTTTACAAAAACCCAATTTTACTTGCGAAAACAGTAATTTTTCAAAACTTTGATATGTGTGCACTCATCTCGGCACCATTACGCACCTCACGACGTATCATACGTACCTCAAAAACTCTCCCCTGAGGCTGTAGGTGAGAGACAACCTCACGGAAGTTGCATGCAAATGCACACACACACATACACTATTTTTTTATATATAGTAGGATCAGTCACAGATCAAAATAATAAGAAAAACGCTTTTCGATCGACTTCTAGGATACGGCAGAATAATTTGACAAAACTTGTTTCAAAAAAGTTACTGGTCACACAATTAATGATCAAACCGCTACGTTTTTCTTACGTCATATTTAAAATATTTTTCTCTATGTGGAAATAACTATGATTTAGGTTCCGCCGATTCTGGCACATCCTCTTCTTCTGAAATTCGGCCACCACCGCCCCCGGCGGCGACAGCGAGCAGTGCAGCGCCAGCCGTCAAGAAATGGGAGCCGGTGAAGGTAAGCCGATGCGCCTATCAAAAAAAGAAACATACATAGATGTTGTAGCAAAACTGCCATGAGTCACGTTAGCAAAAAAAAAATCGAAAAATAATTAGTTTCAATCTTTCAAAATATACATTTCTTGGTGTCTAAGATAATTCACATTTGCTGAGGGATGCCTATACGTAATTATGACGATCATGAAACGCCCATTTTTTTTGTAAAAACAAATAAAACAATTTGTTTGAATTTAATAAATATATTTTCTGATTTTTACATAATTATTAATTAAAAAATAATAATTAAGAATTTACGTTAAGGTATGTTGAAGTTTATGTATTTTTGTTATACGGTATGAACATGTCATATTTTAACGCTATCCAGACAAACGGCATCGTCAACGGCACCGCCGCCGCAGCTCCGGAAAGCCCGAAAACGCACAGAAAGTAGGTTCAATAAGTAATTGTTTTTTCCTGAACTAGAAAATTTAAAACATGTTTCACTAAATTTTCGGAACAAAGCTGATTTTAGGGTTTTAATCTGGCTTCCAACCGAATCTCTAAAAATCTGGGCAAAGATTTTGCGTGTTTCAGCAATTACAACATTAAGTACGCGGCCACATTTATGTAATCGAAAAAGATTCTCGACTAAATCGCAATTACAAAATATATATTTTCCCGCTGTTTCTTAGATTTTTCCTTTGGATCTTCTTTTGAATTATGTTATTTATTTTATTACTTACTATATAGCGTATTTTAGAGCCCCGTCCGCCTCATCTATCGGCACACCGCAAGACGCAACTGGGAATACGGTAAGTTTTTTATTTTTCAAAATAGTAAAAATGCTTGGAAAGTTTGAGAGATGCGTTTATCGTATTCCATCTATCCTGAGTAACTAGTAATTTAAGTAAAACATATTTTGACAAGGTTTTTTATGAAGTCTGGGTAATTAACTAATTTTTAAAGGAATTGATCTTTCGAAATGCCTTGTTTAACCAGCCTATTACAAACTCTTATTCCAAAGGTCTGATCGGTCTAGAATAAAATACCCTAAATCGCGAAATCGCATCTTGGTATTGTCATTAGTTTTTCATGGTCATTTTTATAGTAGTAAATTACACTTTTTCAAATCGCAGCGCTAAAAGCCATCTGAGTTTTTAATTTTAATTGTAATAATTTAAAAGCATCTAACAGCCCCCGTTTTTATTTCAAAAGGGCTGATTGTCGTTTTGCGAAAATTATTTGATCGACATTTGAAAGCCTTTTTCCATGCATGTCATTTTGAATGATTATTAATGACAAACATCTCGACAATTGAAATTTCGGCGCTTCAAAACTTCGACAAAATGATATTTCGACGAAACGATGTTTCGAAACAGCGTTAGAAAATCTTTAAAATCAGTGCTTTTAATGTGTATAGATATTCTAATTAAAAAGTATATTTAGCTATATTTGTAACAAGCATATAATTTTTACTATAAAGTAACTAAATTCGCCGTTAAGGTATCCCCCGAATTCCTGGAGCGCTTCCGCGCCGACCTGATGGCCGAGGTGAAGGAGGAGATTGCGCGCGCCAAGCAGGACATCATCGACGTCATCCGCCAGGAGTTGCAGCGCAGATGAATTTAACTCGGACTTTGGATTTAATTATTTAAAGCCCATAATTAATTGCGATTTTAAAAGGGGCGTGACATGGGAAATCGCCCTGTCGCTTACCCTTTAAAATCCAATCTTTCAGCCGAAAATGACCTGTTTTTCTAGTCTGCCCCGTTAATTATTCTTGACTTGTCTTCGAGCCCCCGCTTTTTGGAATTGATGGAAGTGTTTCAAAAATTTGTGAAACAATTGAGGGATTTTGCTTCTAATGGTTCTTTCCACCGCATCAAAAATTACAATTTAAAATCCCTGAATATAACGCTACCGCGAATATCTTAAGAATACAAAAAAATAGGTTTCACACATTTTTAAAAAACATTCGGATTTTATTTTCACTATTTCACGATAAAACATCGACCAAACATAATTATCCGAAACTTCCAAAAAGGGCCAGCTCCAAATAAGCCATTTTTAATTATTGTAAATTACCGTTAAATCATCGCTATAAAGCCCCCATTAAATCCAATATATCGAAAAATACCTCCCCCACCCAGCTGGCAATTTCAATACCCCCCAAAAGGCACTTATTCCATTACTCACCTTTATTTTTATCTGCTCCAAAATCGATCAATTCCCATTTTCATAATTTCCGATTTTTAAAAAATTTTGTAACACATATTTTTAACCAATTTTTTTTGCTGTTTTTGGATGCTTACCCCTCCCGTTGGGCCTTGTAAATACATTTGGTGCATTATAATCCATTTGTTTCCATTTTATTATTATTTAAGGTGTAGTTTTTGTCGATTGCTCCCTCCCCTCATCCTAGTTGCTCCAAAAAACTCCACTCGGAAACAAATAATCACCGCCCCCGCCACCATCTACTCGCACTTTAATTTTAGAATTTTTATTTTTATTTTCATTGATGTTAATTTGTGAACCCACCCACTACCCCTTGCAGCTGGCCCGGTTTTGATTGGTGTTTGTGTTTGATAATGCTAGTTTTTTTAGTGTAAGGGTTGTAATTTGGAATTGAGCGGAATTGGAACCGATTTAATATAGGCTTGACCTAGGCTTCGGCTTAGCTTAAGCTTGGCTCAGGCTTGGCTTAGACTTGGCTCAGGCTTGGCTTAGGCTCGGCTTAGGCTTGGCTTAGGCTTGGCTTAGGCTTGGCTTAGGCTTGGTTTCGCTTGGCTTAGGCTTGGCTTAGGCTTGGCTTAGGCGTGGCTTAGCTTAGGCTTAGGCTTAAGCTTAGGCTTAGGCTTAGGCTTAGGCTTAGGCTTAGGCTTAGGCTTAGGCTTAGGCTTAGGCTTCTTAGGCTTAGGCTTAGGCTTGGCGTAGGCTTAGACTTATGAACCGAATTTTTTGCTGCATCCCATTCCATTCCGATCCGTTCCGAAGTACAACCTTGACACTACAGTAGTACCCCTCTACGTGCCCTCTACCATTGGTTTTGATGTCTCCTCCACCCAAAATGCTCCACCTTACACCCGCTTTACACCGTGTCATCAATTTTTCGTACTGTCGTGCAACATCATTGTGGTTTCTTCTCTGCGTCTCTCTCTCTCTCTCTCTCTCTCTCTCTCGCTCTCTCTCGTCCCTGGATTTTGTGAATATTTATGCGCGTCTTTTTACAGTTTTCCCCTCATTTGTGTGCCCTTTGGAATGGAATAAAAATATTTGGAAAGATGGGGAGCAGGGGAATTAATGACGCCACCTTGCAGCGCGGATATTAAAGGGGCTCCGAAATTTGGCCCCGCCTCTTCGTGTGGATTCCTGGCAACTAGCCAGATGCGACCGCAACGCGCCCGCGCCGCATAACATTTCGCGCCTGTTTGGACGTGAAAACGCTTGAATTTAAAAAGTCTGGCTCTATTTTTGTGATCCTCATTGAATTTTTGATCGTTCTAAACGTTTTAATTATGGAAAATGATCAGAGAATCACCGGGATCGAGTGATTGGGTGCGTTACAAGGCATTACGAAATGTAAGCGCCGTCCACTGAAAAAGTCGTTTTCGCCCCAAGAATATTTCGGATTACTCGATTATTTTACGTTTTTCGCAAAGAAAGCACTTTTCTGGGTCTTCTCGGCAGTGACGCGTTCGATTTTTGACGAGTAGGCTCAATCCCAGCACGCGCGAATTCTGGCTTCCGAGCCCCTTTAAAGAGACATGGGATCCCAGAATTCCCAACTCCCGGCTTTTTATGAAAAACCAAAAAGTCTTCTCACGGCCGGGGGTCGAACCCAATATTTTTTGGATACTATACGAACGGATTAATTTTGATTGGAGCTGGCCAAAATGGCTTGTATTTACCGAAACATGGGTTTTTTTTCTGTGTCGGCAACGTTAATATTGTCGATTCTATCTGGAAAGAGCTTACTTGCAATTAAAACAAAAAAGAGCCTATTGAAGCCCTCAAACTAATAGATTGCAGCATAAAAAACAGAGACGAACACTTATTGTAACTTGAGAAGACGGGTCCTGGTCCGTATTTTCCGAAACATTGTTTTAGGGGAACCTCCCCTAAAGTATATTAAATGATGAATGCTGTTGATGTTGAATAAACAGAGATTGTTCAGGAAGTATTGAAACCTTTTTCGTCCCCTTAAAACATTTTTTAAATAAAAATCCAAACAGCCAAGCTGTTCCTCAGAATGCACGCAATTAGCGGCAAGGCGCAACATTTGGTGGTCGACTATTTTGTGCCCTTTTTTGGGGGAATGTTTGCCCACTCCCCCCGCCGCTCGCTTTGATGCCCCCAGGGCAATTTAGGGATTTACCCAGTTAATCGCTCTTATCCCGCGCCGACAATGACATATAGACGTTTTTAAAGGGCCGTGCCAGGTAAAGATAGCCACAGAATTCGAAATTCTACTTTGAATTTGATGTATTATTTTAGTAGTCGCTCGACAGCAAAAAAATGCGTTTCTAAAACATTTAAAAGCTGATTAATATTTAGACGTCTTTACGAAGAGGCTATTAAAGTTACTAAAACTATCGTCTAGTGGGTGATTGTTGAAACTTTTTTTTGCTGACCGACACGATGAATCTCACACCTTGAGCAGGAATTATCAACATCAGTAAATTTAAATAAACTACAAAATTACGTACAAACTAAGGTAATAATTTTTCCTAGAAATCGCCGATTTAAGAATGTGCTCAATCCTGTTGTTGGGACTTATCAGTATTATCTATTTCTTAAAGGTATATCTCGATTCTGGTAAACGCTGTAGCATTTATACAATTTGAACTGGTCCTAAATTTGAGTCCGGAAAGGACATTTTTTTATCAAGAAAACCGTGTGTTTCAAAAGCACTGCATGTGCCGAGCGTTTAGAAAATGTCAATCGGCACAAGCATTGAACCGAGGTAAAAACGCTATAAATATAACAAATTTAGTTCAATAATTATCTTACTTGTAGGCGACGTGGCTTATCGAAAATCCATGGTCACCCCCGAAAAGAAACTGTTTCAAAATTACAACAGTTCGCGCTGAATTTTTTGACCCCAATGCAACTGCGCCGCATTTTCACGTTCTAAAATTCCAGCCATATGCAAATTATAGCCGCCAAGGCGTCAAGTCGGAGGCCCGGCCTTCACCTGTAAGTGCCTTTATGCCTTAAGGGCATAAATACGGGACGAGAGAAAGAGAGAGTGAGAAAGAGAGAGAGAGAGAGCCTTCCCGGATTAAATGGATTATCAAGGGCATCCGGGGGCACCGTAAGGGCCCAAAATATGGGCCCAACTGCCGCCAGACGCCTCGGATTTGCATGCGCGACCCGAAAGGGCAACAGGTCAAATGGGGTGTTTCAAAAGATATGTAAGCAACTTTTTCAAAAATTTTTGGACTGGAGAGACGAAAAATACGGTATTTTGGAGCGTACATTAAGATACAAGTCAGAAAATACGGTAAGGAATGCAGGATCAAGCGCTTTATCATAAATCGGGTCACTTCGACTTCCGATTTTTAATAAGAGACCTGGTGGATTGAAAAGTTGCAAAACTATGTTGCATTGCCTCCTCATTTATAAAAAAACCTAACCTTTCCAGTAGTATTAGAAACTTTTTCCTACAAATTTGATGTTTTACCGAATAAATTACAGGTGGGCCTTTTAGAACCAGCATTAAGCAAAACAGTCAAAAGGGTTTATTTTAATTTTACATAGATTTTAGATATTGAACGATTTAATTTAAATTTGTCGTCAACATTCCAGTCGCTACGACGACGCATTGTGTGTAAATTATAACTTACTATTCGAGTGTTGACTAAAACATGTTTTTCTTAAAATTTTAACTAAAATTTCTTGAAATAATTTCGGTATTAAATGCATATTTTATTTATAGTTATTTATATTTAATCGTAAATAATTTCAATTTAAATTTAAACTTCCTAACTTTCCTTAATTCCTCCCAATAACACCGGGCAATCTAGCAGAGACCCTTTGACACCCTCCGCCCGGCCACCCGTAATTAATTGTAAGGCGGAAAAATTGCGTGGTACCTCCTCCCCATCTGGGCGGCATGTCCGATTCTCAAATTTCGCCTAGGGATGTGGCTGAGGGGTGGATATTTGACACCCCGGCTACCGTACCCAATGCACATCCGCCACCGGATCTAATTAGTGGGATATACATGGATATATATCTTGATCTGTCTCACTCTCTCTCTCTCTCTCAAAGAACGTTGATGCAAAGAGTAGCTTTAAAATGTAACTAATTTGCTAAATAACTAGGAGAGCGAGGGAGAGAGGGCGAGAGGGAGTGGGAGAGAGAGAGAGAGAGAGAGAGAGAGAGAGAGTAAGAGAGAGAGAAGGAGATATTTTCGATGTAAAGTGCCTAAATTTTCGTTTGAGTAGATGTATGGTTTATGATTTTTTTACCTAAATCAAAAGTTTTTATAATTTTGTTTAAATATAGGTAAGCCCAGGCATTATGGAAAGTGACAGCACAACTCCATTTTCGCGTCGAGTTTCCGAAACGTTTGAAACATTTACTCAAAAAGCTGAAAATTTCCAGTCTGTTACTTTTTATTTCTTCTTTAATAAAAAACGCTAAAACCCTATTTTATTTTCATTCTTTTAATCGCGCCCGATTCTCTAAAGCACGATCAGTTTTATTATTTAAGAGAAGGGATTTAGGCAAACAACCTTTGGAAAAAATTGAACAAGAATGTTTCGGAAAACGTGTCGGTGGTTCTAAGTAGATCACCGCTAATTCATCCAAATGTTTCGGTTTTGGGGGCGCAAATTTCTAGCGTTTCCCGATTTTAGGTTACGGTAGTCCTCTCTAGGTCCCGCCCTCTTTCGAGCGGGTCCCTAATTAGCGCCCTTGCCGGAGGCGCTAAATGCCCACAGGGCATTTGGCCCCGGGCTATCTGTCACGCTCCTCTATTGTTTTACAATTGTCATTATTGCATTTTAAAGGGGCCGGGAAGTTAAACATTTTATAGGCCTGGTAAACATTGCGTAATGCATTTGAAAAAGCTATCTGATGGCTGCGATTTCATTGATCTTCCTAGTACAATACCCTTATTACAATCTGATGAAACATATTAATTTTCCCTTTTTCTTTTTTTCCGTTTTTTTAAATAAAATAAATAAACTTAAATAAATAATTTAAAATGTTTATAGACTATTATCTTCTATTCCTAAATGCTAAAACTTTCTATATTTTAATTACAAAATACAAAAACCAATGTTTCGAAAAAATTGAAAGATAAAAATTTTGTTTCAAGCCTTGGTTGTTTCTTTTCCGTTTGAAATACAGTTATGTTCTAAAATCAGCTTTCTGAATTTACCAGGTTAATTATTTTACTAAAAATACGATTAAATTTACTTTAATTTTTGAATCTCTACACGGTTATGTCCCAGTCCCTTTGAACGTGTAACTGAAAAAATTTACCGTAACTTCCATAGCCATGGAAAATCTGCAAGCCATGCTGCATCAGCACCTCGACGTCAAGCCCAACCCTCCTGCACAAATACCGTACACCAGGGAACAGGTGAATTTTGATAACCCGAATCAACGCAATACCGTGCTTCAAAGCTTTTGGGAATTGTTTTCGCACGAAACATTTTGATTTTTCGGGTTTCTCGGTGAAAGTTGTTACAAGAGCGAGAGTAATAAAAACAGAGAGAGAGATGGAGAGAGAGCGAGGGAGAGATAGAGAGAGAGAGGGAGAGAGAGAGAGAGACAGAGACAGAGAGAGAGCGAGAGAGAAAATATTCGAACTGTCCTATCTGCTTAAGCGAGTTTGCCTATTATAAAAAATAACTTGGAGCCGTGGGTAGGGCAGACTAGCAGCGATACTTTGCAAAGTACGTCTACGTAATGTAATAGGGGCCAAAGAACGTGGGTTGCTTCGGGGAAACGTCGGAATGATTAAATGGAGCCTAGCTGCTTATTACGCACGTCTACGCGTCAATGATTTTAAGGGACGACGAAACATTGTTTTCAAAAACGTAGATTATTATGTGATTTTAAGTTTAGTTTATTGTATGCGGGCAAGTACTCATTGCGGAAGTGCGACACTCTTTTAATTTGCTAAAAACTATCTACGTCCAAATACTGACTCCTAAGTCGATTTAACTGATTAAAACCCAGCCGTCTTGCTCGGGAGGTTGAATAAAACGTTTTTTATCAAATATTTGGTGTATTTCGGGTTGGGGCAAGCTAGCAGAGACACTTTGCGGTCGCAATTTTGGTTTTGACCAGATATTTATGGAAAATGACAAAAAATAAAAATTTTCAAGGTTTGCAATTTTTTATGCCAATCCGAAACTATTAAAATCCTACAAAAAATACTTTATATACGATTAACAGATTGGCATAGGCGAAAAATAAAAAATAGCCCCCCCCCCGCTAACAGTCCAGTACAAGGTTCTTGTGGATTCAAATATTTGGGGCTGATTAGTTGCGGTAACTGTCGCCAATTCCTGATGCCATTTCTTAGAGGACCTTGCGAAACGCTGAAACAAATTTTTGTTAGGAAATTTTCGAATTTTTCTTCTTATCATTTATTCTAATTTGAGATCGAATGCATCTGCTGGACGCTTTTCCAAGCCCGTGACGGTGCCCAACTCGTCGCCTTATTTTCCCAGTTCGGAGATCAACAACTTCTTCGAGCAGAGTGGCGCTCGGAGGCGGTGATTTTGGGTAGGTTTTAATTTTTTTATATTATAAAATATATAGTATCACCTTCACGAAAAATAATCGCAATAAAAATAAGAATAATAATGAGAGTATGAATACGAATATTATTTCAGGCTACATCCTGGCATTGCACGAAGCCGGGCAATTTGAGACCTTATTTACAGGTTGGTACGCTGGAAAAGTTTGCTATAATTTTTAAATTAGGTAAATTTATTTAACGATTTCAAATTGAAAAATAAACGTAGGAAAAGTGCCTAAGGATGACAAAACCTAAAAAACCTTTATAAAAAAATTTAATGAAAATGAATGTTTCATACCCGAGCCATTCTAAAGGATATTTTCAGGTTGTATTCGACGTCTACTGAAAAATTATTTACAAAAAGATTAAATAAGTACATAAAATATAAAAATTAGGTGTTAAATCCGCGAGTGAAAATGATAAAATAGCTTTTTGGAAAACTATGTGAAAATTGATGTTTCAGAAGATTAGTGATTTCCGCGTGGTTTTTATTGCACACTTATTAGTCCCCTTGATCGCTGGTGAAAATTCAACCGAATAAAAATCCACTAATTATTATCGTAATTTTCGATACCTTAATAAATTTTCCTAAACTCTAAAATGGGTTTTTTAAAAAAGCGAACCTCTTGCAGTAATCAGCAACGGGTCATTCCACGAGAAAAACTACAAGGACCTGCAGGACATTTGGTATATGGCGCATTACCAGGAGGTATGGTAATTGCCATTACGTTTCTGGATTTTGCAACGTATTTTATTGATTTGTATTCTAAATATAATGGAATTTAAAGTATCTTTAGAACGAGAATAAGCGGCAAAAAGTGCTCGGCGCCGTCGAGAAGTATCGATTAAGGAGGTATGGGATATTCATTAAAGTTTTATCTTGTCATAGAGGTTTATCTATCTTTAGAAATACAGTTAAATCAGCACGTTAGAAACTGCCGCGGACTTCGCGTATTAGAAAATGAAATATGCAAATTTCGTTAAAAATTTATGTTTGCTAAAATCGATGTTTCGTAAAATTCCATTATTTTTGGATCAAAAGCATTAATAATCCATGGCGCCAATCACTGGTCAGTCAAAAATCCAGCCTCACTGCCTTCAATTGTCCTTTAAAAAATCCGTTTTTTTTCAGAAAACACCCGCCGCCGCGCTCAATCTGGGACGGCCAGGAGACGATCTACTCGTTCAAGGAGAACAGCAGAAAGGTGAGTGTACTGTAGAAAAGGACATGTTTTGAGTCTTTAGCATTTTTTCTTTTTCTTGGCTTTCTTAGCGCTATTTTTATCATGGAAAATCCAAAGAAACACGCGTTCATGAATTTTTCGAAAAAATCTGTTTCACAAATTTTCATAATCGCGACAAGAAGTCTATCATTAATGCATGACTTGACTATATGATTAAAGGTTGTTGATTCGATTTAATTCATTTTAAATGTTCGGGAACAATCGCTGCAAGCCTGCTCAAAATTAAATTAAACATTTCAATCGATTTAAATCTTTTAAAAAATGTGTTGCATCAATTTTGGCACTGGGTAGATTTTGGGGCAGTCAATTCGACTTCGCTTTTTCCGTTGCCATGCATTTTTCCACAAATGACCGCTTCTAGCTTGCCCAGCGTAGCCAAAAACCTTCAAAATTTGAATATCATTGATTTACTTAATTCGCGATATAATTAATTCATAGGAAACTAATAACACTTTTCCAGTTCCTCCGCCAATTCTACAAGCAAAACCCGTACCCGAATCTCGAGCAGAAACGCGAGATCTCCCGCGCCACCGAGCTCGAGCTCGTCCAGGTGAATTTGCCTTGCTTTTTATTTCTATTTAATTTTGTATAATTGTAATATGGATTATTGAAAAAGTATTGATTAAAAAATTATTTTTGTAAAAAAGGGCTGATAAGGAACTAATGAGACGTCAATTAATACAGTTTTTTTCACTTTTATCTTAAAAATATCACGAAACTTTTTTTTGGAATTGGATAATTGGATGCATCTGATAAATCTGATAAAACGAAAAAGCAAATCTTTAAAAAAATTTCCGTGAAGTTTAAAAAAAGCTATAAAGATGGAATTTGCTGACCCAAAATTAGCCAATCGGATATATTAATTTCTAAAGAAATCAGAATTATTCGAAAAATTTATAGAATCGAAATCGGTTTAATCAGTAGCAAATTTACATTTAACGTCAATTTAATGTCGTAATTTGTAGTATCTCGTAGTCTACCGTATTCATTACCGTATTCCAGATCTCGAATTGGTTCAAGAATCGACGGCAGCGCGACAAAACCAACAAACACCACCACGGCTTCCGGCTGATGGAGATGCCCGCCCACCTCCAGCACTACCCGATGGCTGTTTAAAATATATAAATATTGAATTGTTAAATTAATTTTTGAGAGTTTTTCGATCCTCATTCAAATCATTATCGCCGATTCTCACAGTCACAGTCAGCTCCGCACGGCATTTTTATGAAACGTATGCTTTTTCGAAAAGTTTTTGGGACTTACATTACAGCATTTTAGTCATTTTCGTCTTATTAATCGCATTTTATTGAAAATAAAAATGATACTTTTACAAACTACATCGTAATTAAGAAAAGATAATTCAGGCATTGAGGCTCAATTTTAAATTCCCTCTAACTCGGATTGGAACCACAGTTACACCATTCGAAGGCCTTTGAAACGGCGTGTTTGCCACAATCGTCAAAACCAAGTTTTTATTTAAAGGCGCGATTTTATAGCTAATTGAAAAACATTCAGGAATAGCCTCTGCCTCTAATTAACGGCTACTTCCGGCCGTTTTGCTCGGTGAAATTGAAGAAGGTTAGCTCGCTTGCTACCCCCAAAAACCGGAAAATTTTTAAAAAATGGCTTGTAAAATCGTGCATTCAAACAAACTGATAGTTTTGAAGCCTGTTGCAAGCTCACCGTTTTAAGGGCCTTCGAATGGTGTAAATATCGTCACGATCCGACTCTTCTGCCTCAGGTTGGAGGGGGTGTTTTTTTATGCGCGAACCACGCAAAATTGAGAATATTATTCGGCGGTTATCTCTGTCTCCAGCTGAAACACCAGTGTTTATCGCCGCTGGCAATCTGCAGCTGCCCCCTATTTCGCGCCCGCAGAATAGGCAACTCTTGGGCTGACACTGGTGGAGAACAATTATAGGTATGGCAAGGTGCCAAATCGGATCACAATTAGCGCGACAAGCGATTGGGGGTGTCGATAGGAATTACCGTAACTTAGGCCCCTGCAGAAGGATTTGTAGAAAAATGTTGTTTCAAAAACACTTCAACTGTTCACACAATCAATGAATCAATCGTATTACAATTACAAGCTATTGGCGGAATCGATAGGAAATCGCGTAATTTCGGCACGTAAATAATAATTTTACCGGAAAAAAATCGTTTCAAAAAATTTTTAAATCTCAAATACTATTAGGATTTTTTGAAGCATAAAAATGGGGGAAGGGGTGAAAGGGCAAATCGATCGGGCTGCGTCACTTCACTACCCGCTTGATAAGGAGAATCTTTGCTGCAAGGAATTGCCCCGGTCTCTATTTTTCCGATCTTGATTTGAACTCATTTTGAATGGCCCAGTTTTAATCCTCAAGCATTTATTTATTCTTTTCGATTTCGATTTAGTTTATCGATTCAGACGCCGACTTATTTCGATTCCGAAGCTTGGCTTAAAAACTCAAAGACCACTAATAATAATTAAACACGGGCTACTTATAAATTCAGTTAAAACACATTATTTGTACCAACAATTAGTTGTCATAAAAAATTGTTACAATTAAAATGCTATTCGAGAAGTCGGAAAAATTTGTGAAAAAATGTTACATCTCTTGAATTCAATAGCATTGCACCTGAATGCTCCTTAAAAAATTGTGAGCTCTGTAGAAAATGGGTGCTTCAACTTCTCGCGAATCAAATTATCTCTCTTTCTCTGCATTATTGAGCTATTAGCGTTAAGCCAATAACCTTAAAAATAGCTATCAATTTCTTAAAATATAGAAATCGTAAAAATAGCTCCGTTTTCAAAATATTTACATTTTACAGTTAGGTTGCCAGGCGCGGTCGGAATTTAAAAAAGATGTATGTTTTAGGAAAATAGGTGCAGATTTTATGACTTTACGATCGTAATACAGTGTGTGTGAGTAGTAGTGTTGTTACTTTGCAGCAAAAATAAATGTTCTGTTCTCAAACTTTGAATGTTGACGATTTCAACGAAAATTTTTGATAGTGCGGCACCTCTAATCCACAATGGCAGAGCAGAAGCCGCCGATGGTCACCCGCCGGTCGCAGAATGTGAGTTTCACCATGAAATCACCAAAATAGGGATATGTTTGCATCCCCCTTTTTGATTTTTTCAGCGTAACTGGTGTACGCAAACGTACAACTGCAACCGCTGCCGGGCCACCGGCGTCAAGGTCGATGACATGATGTGCAACCTCGAGAAACTGGAGACGGCGCTCGGCATGAAGATGGACGAATTTACCGGAAACTTCTCGGATTTGCACGATCAGGTATGGCATTATTTCA